ACCGCGGGGATCCTGGGCGTCCGGGCGGTACGGGGCCGGGTGCGCCCACCTGGCAGCCTGTGGATGCCGGCATCGTCCCGAGCTCGAGAAGCCGAATGCCAACAGACTTTGGATGGGGCACGAGGCACTCGCTTCCTGTGCTTCAGCCGCTGGGTAGAGCAGTTGCCTCCCAGCCGAGGACAGAAATGCCAGCTCTGCGATATTGGTAAGGGCAGGCCAGCGGCAGGGACCCTGAATCCGAAGGAGTGGAGTTACTCAGAACAGGCTAAATTCACTGCAGCAGAAGATACCGCCTTTCGCTGCCCTATTGAAAGGATTGCTCGAGCCTGCGACTTCTATTTCATAGCTATTTCCAGTCACTCCTTGTGTTTTTCCTGCAAGCTTTCTGTGGTCTGAAATGCTGGTAGCCTGGCCGCCTTCACAGTGTTAGAAATAACATGATGGTGTCAGTTGCCCACATGTGTCTTGATCTTTCAGGTTTTGACATGATGCCATTGCCTTGGGAAGACCACGGTTGCAACTGAGCTGGCATTTTCATTTTAAACATGATTTTTCAGTGGTTCATGACTCAGATATTCAGAAACCCTTCAGAATTTCTGCTCTTAGTTGCCATACAGATAAGCCGGATTCATAACACCATCAAAAAATAGCTGCCGTTTTAAATATTTCAGGCTTTTTAACCACTTCCGGATAAAACAAATTGTACGGCTGACACATTTTTAGAGATGTTGCCTTTGGAGTATCCTTTAACAATCAACTTTTTGCCTTCCCAGTGGCAGTGCAGAGTGTGACGAACGAGGGGCACCTCACCTGAGTGCAGTGTCTGTGCGACACGTCTGTAGGTCCTACTGGGCAAACCCAAATCACTGTGTACCCGCGGCTGTTACTTTTAGCAGAAATTTGCGTGTGGGTAGGGGTGGAGTAGGGACTGCGAGCAACATTATCCGGACCTGGACAGCTGCTGCAGCAGAAACCTCCGTGGAGTTGTTTCCAAATTCAACACTTGGGGGACTGTGGTTTGTCCTAAAACCAAAACCTGAGGTCACTGGGCCCTCAGCAAGCATCACTTAGCATTCAATAACACCTCGGTGTGCGTCTTGCCCCAGTTGTCTGATATCTTCTGCTAATGTAGCTAATGTCTATTAGGCGCATGTGGTTTACACTCCTCCCTGCGCCCCCGGAGGTGTGATGACTGCGTGCATATATCTGGATTGTGGTGGAGTGTTTTTGTCTTGGTAGGGAGCTTTGAGAGACATTTGAGAGGTTACCAGAGTCTTGTCAAAAGAGTAATGACTGCATATGACATGGAGTCATACCTCACGTGGTTAATAACTGTAGCCATTTGGGGAGTTTTAGATATGTAATGGATACAAGCCAAGAGACAGCAATGGGTTTGGAGGATTTTTCGTTTGCTGTTTGACTATCCTGAGTTGGTGTCGGTGAGCACTGTAAGGCCAGTGTTTTCAGCTTTGCACCGTGCCTCAGGTTGCAGCAGCTTCTTTGGGGCTGGTAAAAGTGGCAGCCTTGACTATTTTCTTTACTCAGCCTTCATCTAAAGCTTAATTCAGGTGTCAGATGAGGAGTGCTAGACGTACAAGACAACATACAAGGTGCTGCACTATTTTAACTACCAGCAGATGGCCTTGCACTTTTCCTAACATGCAGAGAGGGGTCAGACTGTGACGGGATCAAACTCCAGGAACAGTTAACACAGGAGACTGACTTTTTAGTTCCTTTGCAATTCCACCTTTCAAAATGTAAGGGGTTTGGAATTAAAGTGAAGGTTTTGATTTATTTACTGATTTTTGTGGGGTTTTTTTCTTGTTATTGTTCTATGTCCACGTATGTGCACTGGTCATAGGAAATTCTGTTCCAGATAGTTGCAAAAACACCCAACAAACAATTTTGGACACACACAACCACAGTGTTCTGGCTTTGAGAGTCGCTGAGTTGGAATCTGTATTCATGCCTTAACTGGCACCAAACCCTTTCTTCCGTCTCCAGAAGCCTACTTGCACCTAGAGAAACTGACTCCATCAGGGTATTACGGCCTTATGAACTGCTAAGTTTTTGAGAAAGCTGACTTAATTAGTCTCTCCAGGTGAAGAAAAATTTGTCACAGTGAAATAAAACATGATTAAAGGCTCAGAGGCCTGTGCATTGTATTGGTCTCATCTCAGAATATTGAATACATATTCATATTCCAGAGGGAAAATAATGAGGAGGGGGAAGCATAAGATCTGACTTGCTTTCTACTACTACTTTCTTTGTTAAATTGTTACAGGTTTTTTTAACTTAAATAACTTTAAAAAAAAAATACTTGGTTTATATTTGTTTTGGTATGTTGGTAATTATTTAGCAGTCCTTTTGTACTAAGATTGGGGAGTTAGATTAATGTGGTGTAATTTGACCAAAGTAGTTCTATCAGTTCTTTGGCTCTGCTTTGGCCTACGGTACTCCCTGGAAGATCACTGTTGCACGGAAGGCTGACACTGGGATACCTCAATGTAATAAATGCAGGAGCTATTGAATTTGAGAAGAGTTATGAACTCCTCACTACAATTGTCTTCCTCTTAGCTTTGCATTTTCTTGTCTTGTATATGTTGACTTATTCCCCTGGTTTTAGTAGAGAGTAAGTTTGCCTTATAATGTGGATTAGAGGGCACAACTGTTGTATTTGGACAACTTGGTTTGGCTGAAAAGGGAGGAAAATAGGAGATAATACAGAATATGTGTTTTGGAGATACTTAAAATGAAACGGTTTTTTATGTGATTCATGTTTTGTAAATAACTTGAAGTTTAAAGGGAAGGGAGATAAAGCTCAAACACTTAATAACTGGGCTACTTTACTTTACTGAAGTAAAGTAATTTTGTTTCACTTTCTGTCTGCATTTTGTTTTATTTTGGTTTTCTGTTTTGCCTCTCCCCTCCCTCATGTATGTTCAGAACAACCTAATTTCACCTTTTGGTTCAAGTGCTGGACTGAGGGATTCATTACTCATGCAGCTCTATTGCATCTCCTTCATCCTTGGTTCAAACTTGTTTCATTCCGTTACTCTCGTCACGAGCATCAGATAACCCTACTGGGAAGCGATCAGAGTGGCATCGGTCCTTAAATCATCAGCTCTTACTGAGTACAGTTTTATGGTGGAGTGCTTTGCTCTTTGTTTTCCAGATCTTCCGTGAAAAATTAAATTGGCCACCTTCCTCCACCCACCAGCTGCACCCTTTGCCCTATGGTCTTGTGGACCAGAAATTATCTGTAACTGCTCTAACTGTTGGCTGTTCCGTTGCAGTGTGGTATGGCCAGATTCTGACAATTTGAGGTTACCCTTCTCCCTTTCTAAGATACTACTTACAATCACCCGTGCGAGTGGTGTAACTGAAAGGTTCTTGGTCAGATGATGCGGTAGCAAAGCACTGTATTGGCCCAAACACCCCCTTCTGTGGGTGGAGAGGCTGATACGACAGCATGGAAGTGGGAAAGCAGAGTGTGATCGGAGAGGATTATGAACACCCCATGGGGTTTGGTTTTTTGCAAGGTGCCACATCAAATCAGAGCAGGGAGTTCTGGCATGCAGCAGGTTCCTGTTAGGTGTAATAGTGATCTGATACACAGGGCTGTGGAGCCACAGATGCTAACGTTTATCTAAAAAACCCCATGCTAGCAACAAAACAGAGTGGAAACACAACAAAACGGAGTGGAACAAAACAGAGTGGAAACCGAAACTCAAAGCATGCCACTTGACCCCTTTAGCAGTTCTCTTCTGGAGAAGGTGATAAAGGTGAATTGGGAACAGCTCCTGACACTTTAAAAGAAAGCTGAAACAGATGTGTGTCCTTTCTTTTGGAATTCAGCTTCTTGACACAGCCCTGGATCCACGCTTTTGCTCAGTAGACCCCGTTTGATGACGTCAATGCATTCTTCACAGCAGGAAAAAAATCACTTTTCAAACAAACCGAGCATTTCCGTAGACTGGAAAAGCGAATTGGCCGGATTCCTGGTGGCTCCTACAGCCAATCACTATAACCTTACCATAAATGTAGATGTGTTTCTATCTTAGGGTTGATTATTGACTTTACTTTAGCCATGGGACCATCCTGTCCCAGTCCTCTGTGTGTGCACTCTACCAGTGAGTTCTGAGATCCTGAATGCTGCATTATTTAGCAAATATTTTGCACATTGCACGGGCTCACTTAAAATTTGACTTTGCCACTTGATATATTGTAAATGCATCTCTTTTAAATGTCTTGTGGAGCTCTGTCTCCACCCAGAACTTGCAGCAGGCAGCTTAGCCAGAGGTTGGCTGGTGCTCTTTTTCTCTTTTTTTCTTCAGGCTAATTGCTCTTCATTGTTTTTGGGGGTTGGTATTACTAATACTAAGATTATGCTTTATACTCACAAAGCTTGGCATACAGCAAATGCTAACTGTAAATGTGTAACAGGTGACCTGTAAAAGCTCTTGAGATAAGGTGCTAGGGAGGCTAGGCGTTCTCCAGAAGTGAGCGAGGAAGCCTTCAAACCTTTTCCCTTCAGGCACTGCTTGGACGGAGCATGGCTGATTTAGTCTGTGAGTGGTATTAGTTTCCTGCATTTGTGGCTTAAATCCAAGGCTGAATCCTCGTAATGAGGATGAGAGAGGAAAGATCTGTAGAGAAATGTCTGGAGTTAAAAGGTAAGTGTGAGTAAAAGGACATCTTTAGTTCTGCTTTTAACCTTTGATCTGGAGATGGCAGTAACAGGCACGCCAGATGGTTTTATTTCCGATGTTGAGTAAGCGACACCCAAACAGTCACCCTTCAAGGAAAAAAGTTTTCATAATCATTTTAAGGTTAACTAAGACAAATTTTATATTAAAGGCGGTGGTGGGGAGGGGAAGCTAAAGGAAACATTTTAAAAGTTCTCGGCATACTGTAGTTGATCAGAATTTCTGAAACCATAAGAAATGTTCTGTGTTTTGGGATTTAGTTCCACTGTTTTGCTTTGCTCTGCCATCCTCCTCTTTCTGGGATATCCTCTAACAAGTGGGACTGGCACACTTAGGCAGAGCAGTGCCTTGTGCCTGAGGCTCCGAACTCTCCTGGTTTTTTTTGGATATTGATTAAACTTTGAAATTCTTTGGGGGGGGGGTGGGGGGGGACAGTGATGTGAAAAGTTTTATCCCTCCCACTAACGTCTGAGATGCAGCTCGGCATCCTCTGCGACATCAAACGTTCTTCAGAGCGCGAACAGGATGCAGTGATCTTGCTCTGCATGTTTGTCTCCCGGGCACTGCTGCGTGCGTTTAACCAGGGCTTGTGCCTCGGGTAGCCGAACAAGAGCTAAATTCTGGTAGAGAGGGGCTATAGTGGTGGGAGCAAGGTTTGGAGGTGGTGGAGCTGTCGCTGTTCCCTGCCTTCACCTACTCACCCACTGCTACCACACATCTGCACAGAGACGAGGGGCCTGGGTAGCTCACGCAGCTACAGGAATGAGTCATACCTTCTCTGCTCAGCTGCACCGCCTGCTGCAGAGTCAAGCTCTTATGAGCATGAAGCAAATGAAATGGGGGTGTAGTACAGGCTAATTCATGTTTCTATCAAAATGCAGTTGATGGTTTTCTCCTGGTGGCTCTCATCAGCAATTAAATGATGGGCTAAGAAAGCTGTGCGACTCCAGGGATGGTCGTAACAAGAAGGGATACACTGATGTTTGCTGTCTGAAGCAGCCTGTTAAGTTCCCAGATCAGACTTCAGTGATACCTTTCAGGTGAATCATTTCTTAAATACTTCTTGGAAACCAAGTATTTTGTAAGAGGCGTCTTTTCCATGCTGCACGGTAGCTGCCTCTCCTGCTGTGAGGCAGCTCACACGCAGGAATGGAGGCTGGCTGGGGGACAGCAGAGGGATGAACAGCAGAACATGCGTTTCTGGTTCGGTGGGACGGGCAGGAGAGTCTGGTGGCAGCGCAGGCCACAGTGTTAGCAGTCACGGGTTCCCCATGCCTTTCTCCCAGCTGAGGGGTGCTCAGAACCCCCCTGTCTGGAGGTGGCCTGCTGAGAGGAGAGCAGTTCCTCAGTTTCATGTGAGAAACAAAGAGGGACTTGCATCCCTTTGCTCTAATAATGAAAGGAAATTGCCTTCCTGAAGTAGAGGTTTTGGACTGGATTCTCAGCTCTCATTGAATCATTTCAGTGAGCCAAGATTTTACTCGAGATGTTGTCCTGAGCGAAGTTAAGATTTCACTACACGTATATAAAGCAGATGTAAAGGTACATTATATGGGTAACTGGGGAATTCCCTCCCTCTGGGAGGCAGGGCTGGCCGCCAGCCCCTTCTCATCACCCCCCCAAAGGGGCAGCC